GCAGACCATAAAGACCATAAAGCAGGTAGGTGTTATCGTGTCAGGGAAGACTTGTTTCTAGATAAGAAAGTTACTAAAGTGCAACATACTAAGAGAAGTCAGGCTTCATCAACTGATAAATTGGCTAATGAAGTCACAGTGGGCTTTGGTTGGAGTAATCTGTAAAGATTTCAGGGACCAACTTATGATAGTAGTGAATTGAGAAGGACTTGGAAAATTGGATCAGAGAAGATTTCTTTTCAAGAAATACTGTTGTGATGAAAAGTGATGCTCCAGAGCTGAGAGTTTGGGAGCTTTTAAAACATGAGAGAGTTGAGCATGTGGTACTTCTTGGTAGGTGATGGTAAAGATCTGGGAGAAGGAAGATTTGAAGACGTTTGAAAAAGTAAAGGCTCTTAAGATATTTTGGTAGTATTCAGCACATAGGTAACTTAGTGATAATATAAAGAATATGTAAACAACTTTTGTTGATCAAAAGTTTTAGAAATAGTAAACCACAAACCAATTTTTAAACAAGTAATAAGCAAATAATTCAAAAGTCTCACTTCCCGAGAGCAGAAAAAAAAGTTTCCCTAGCAACTGAATAGATACAGCAACAGGTAAGGTGCTTGCCTTGCACTTACCAACCCAGATTCAGTTCTTGACACCTTATATTGCCCCGTAAACCCTGAGCACTGCTGGGGTTATCCTCAAAACAAAAAAGTTTCCCCAAGTGTTGTCATCATTCACAGAGAACTGCTGTTTCTACTTGCGGACTGTAATAGGCATGCTTTCCTTCTCATTTCTCATAAAGCTCTGTTGTGGCAGTCTGTAATATGATATAGGTGTTATTTTACAGCAAGGGAGACAACTGTGAAGTGAAAAGATATTGAGTATTGTACTAGAGAGATAGATCAGTGCACTGAGCACATGTTTTGCTTCCTTTGCATAAAATTTATCCCCAGCACACATGAGCACCCCCAGAAGTGACTCCTGAACACTGCTGGGTATAACCCCCAAACAAACAAAATAAAATCAGGTTATTTTCTATCCTTGAAGATGTGTTCAAGTTAAAATTTAATTTGCCCAATTTCAAATCTACTTCCAACTGCCTTCTCATAACACCTTTCCTGCCTTTAATGTTCACATGACTTACTTTGTCTCTTACCAGTGAAGGTGTAGTATATTTTCCCTTTTCAGTGGGAATGCTAAAAGCATAGCACCAGAAACCAGATGACTAGATAAGTTAAAAATGGGGCAGTTTTCTTATAAGCAGCACTAAATGAATGAATTAAGATAAGTGGAAAACAATGGGAACACTTACAATTGGTTAATACTAGAATGGGATAGGGAAAGGGTGTTATCAGCATTAGGCTTAAGGGGGGATGGAGAGGGACAGATTTTGAACACTAGAGATTTATTTCTCAATTAGCCTGGAATGAGCCTCATACCATATTAAGCAATTTTTTCCCCATATCCAGCTGATGAGCACCACTGGTAACTTAAATAGTAGAGGGCAGAGGAGCCTTTTGATTCAAACATATAAGTCTGGATCAGCCATGTGTAAGGCAAGTGCATTATCTGTTGTGCTATCACTCCAGTCTGTTCTTCTGCTCACTTTTTAACTGTCACTGTCACTGTCCTCCCATTGTTTATCAATTTGCTCGAGCGAGCCCAGTATCATCTCCATTGTGACACTTGTTACTATGTATGGCATATCGAATATGTCACAGGTAGTTTGCCAGGCTTTGCTGGGCAGGCGAGATACTCTCAGTAGCTTGCCGGGCTCTTCGAGAGGAGCGAAGGAATTGAACCCAGGTTGGCAGAGTGCAAGGCAAACACCCTACCCGCTGTGCTATCACTCCAGCCCACTTTTTAACTAGACTTCTTAATTTGAGTTTTGAAGATTCTTATATTTCACACTTTCTGCCTAGTCTTTTTTGTTGTTGTTGTTGTTGTTGTTGTTTAATGTTTTGGAGACCACATCCATTGATGCTTGGGGAGGGAGACATAGGGTTCAGTGGGTCAGAAACAGGATCTCACACAGATATGGTAATATGCTATTCCATTTGAGTACATTTCCAGTTCTACCTTTCCTTTTTATTCTCTTAATTTGTGTGGACTCTTTTGTTTGTTTTTGTTTTGTCCTGGGGATCAAATACAGGACCTCACACATAGAGCAAGAGCTCTACTGAGCTTCCACCTCTGGATCCAGCAGTATCCTTGTAAAGGAAAAGGAGGGTTTTAATTGTGATGAAATAGGTGCCTAAAGCCTTCCTTTTTTTTTAATTAGTGAATCACTGTGAGGTACAGTTACAGACTTACAAACTTTCATGCTTGTGTTTCATTCGTACAATGCTCGAGTACCCATCCCTCCACCAGTGCCCATTCTCCACCACCGATTATCCCAGTATCCCTCCCCACACACACCTTATCCCCACTCACCCCACCCCGCCTCTGTGGCAGGGAATTCCTTTTTTTTCTCTCTCTCCTTTTAGGTGTTGTGGTTTGCAATAGAGGTATTGAGTGGCCATCGTGTGTGATCTATGGTCTACTTTTAGCACACGTCTCCCATTACAAGCGGGTACTCCAGCCCACATTTTACTTGGTGTTCTCTTCTCTATCTGAGCTGCCTTTTCCTCCAGCATGTGAGGCCAGCTTCCCAGCCATGGAGCAAACCTCCTGGTACTTATCTCTACTATTCTTGGGCGCTAGTCTCCCATTCTGTTACTTTATATTCCACAGATGAGTGCAGTCTTTCTATGTCTGTCTCTCTCTTTTTGACTCATTTCACTTAGCATACTTTCCATATTGATCCACTTATATGCAAAGTTCATGACTTCATCTTTTCTAATAGATGCGTAGTATTCCATTGTGTAGATGTACCAAAGTTTCTTTAACCAGTCATCTCTTCTTAGGCACTTGGGTTTTTTCCAGAGTCTGTAAAGCCTTCCTTTTAATGATAACCAGAATCTCTTGAAATTAAAATACTTCTCACTCCTAGAACAAGTTCTAGTCGACCCCTTTTTCCTGTCCCGTTGTTAGCCATCTAAATTCTGTTCCTGTAAGCCATCAGGAAAGGGAGTGTAAAGATAGACATCTAATTCAATATAAAATTATTTCCTCTTATAGACACAGGTGACCTTCAAGGATATACTTGTGAACTTCACCAGGGACGAGTGGAAGCTACTAGATGCTGCTCAACAGGTCCTATACAAAGATGTGATGCTGGAGAACTATAAGAACCTGGTTTTCTTAGGTAGGACTAGCTGTTTTTGGAGATAATATCCCTAAAACGATTTTTGCTTGTTTGTTTGTTTGTTTTTTGATTAATAGGTGTAGAGATCTAATGATACAAATATCAGAATATGGATTTGGAGTTAAGAACTTAATTTTGTTGGGACATGAATAGGATTTTTGTGCCTTTGCATTTTTGAAAATTTACTTTGACTAGTTGAATTTTGGGGTGGGGAGGTCTCATGCCTGGCAATTACCAGAGGTTCACTCTCAGCTGTGCTTCAGGTACTATATGGTGCCAGAGATGGAACTCAAGCTTCCAGTATGCAAAGCATGCACACTTGCCCTATACCTATCTCCTTGGCCCTTCAGGTTTCTTTTGTAGTCTCTGCAACCTCACTTTGTCCATTCTTTAAAGTATATGAAGGGGTGAGGGTCGGAGGGATACTGGGAACATTGGTGGTGGAGAATGGGCACTGGTGGAGGGATGGGTACTCAATCATTGTATGACTGAAACGTAAGCACAAAAGTTTGTAAGTTGTAATTGTACCTCATGGTGATTCATTTAAAAAATAAAAAATAAATTAAAAAAATAAAGTATATGAAGGTGTTGTAGTTTCGGGTTAAGTCTCAGGTCCTTCTTTGAATTTAGCTCAGAGTTCCTTACCCCTCACACAATTCCTTATCTTTTTCTGAAGCAGGGCATCAGCTTCCCAAGCCAAATGTGATCTTTCAGTTGGAAAAAGGAGAAGAACCATGGCTGATAGAGAGGGGTATTCACCACGAGATCCTTCCAGGTGAGGAACAGGCAAGACCTAGTAGGCTCAGATGTACTATTAGGGGTGGAAAAGACTTTAGGAACTAAAAAAGACATAAATGAAAAGTTAGAACTTTGGTGGGAATTTTACAAAGAAAGCAGAGCCTGGCACAGGTAACTGCTATGTTTGCAGGGACTCCTGAAACAAAGTTTCCTAAACTGGATGGCTTAAAACAGCAGCAGTTTATTGTCTCACAGTCTTAGATGCTAGAAGTCTGAGAAGAAGATACTGGTTAGGGCCAATTTTTCTTTGAAGATTCAATATAGGTGCTTGGGCTGTAGAAATAGTATAGTGGGTATGGTGTTTACCTTGCATGCAACTGTCCTGTGTTTGATCCCCAGCATCCCCATATGGTCCCCCAATCTGGAGTAATTCCAGAATTCAGAGCCAGGAGTAACTACTGAGCACCACGGGGTATGGCCCCCAAAACAACAATGATGATGACAACAACAATAATATAAGGGCCAATTTTTCTTGCTTCATTCAGATTCTGATGTCCCCAGATATTTCCTGGCTTATTGAAGTATTACTCCAATTGACTTGTCTTCACATGACTTACTTTCTCAGTGTATGTTTCTGTGTCTCCCAGTTTTAGTGAATCAGGGGCCAGCCTTTTTCTAGTACTGTGTCCTCTTCAACTAATTTCATCTGTGATCATTCTGTTTCACATAAGGTCAGATTTTGCAGATTAGGACATTGCAGATTAGTCAGTAACACCATTTATTGTTTTGGGGCCATACCCAGCAGTGCTCAGGGTTTACTCCTGCCTCTGTGCTCACAATCATTTCTGATGTTGCTCAGAAAACCATTTGGGGTACTGGGGCTCAAACTTGGCTTGGCTGCATGCAAGGCAAGTGCCTTACCTGATGTACTATCTCTCTTGCCCTTGAGTATTCTCATTCCATCTTTCATATTATGTCTTATGGATTCTCTTTCCCCTTTTTTTTTGCTTCTGTTGAATACTAAGTACCATGGCATGTTTTGTTTATTGCTCTTTCTCTTTCTTATTCTCTATTAAGGTTATAAAGCCATATTTGGAAGCAATGTTAAATAGCTTACAGTGCTACACATTATCTCCATATACGGCACACCAGTATTGTTTTTAGTAAAACTCTCTCATTTCTTTCAGTTGCAGAGACTGCAGTTGAAATTAAGTCATCGGTTTTAAATAAGATTATTTCTAAAGATAAACAACCCTATGGTATTAAAATGGAAAGAATTTCAAAGGATGACCTCTGGTATTTGTCATTAGAAGAAGTCTGGAAATGTGATGACCAGCTAAACAAATATCACGAAAACCAGGAGAGACATTTGAGACAAGTGGCATATACTGAAAAGAAAGTATTCAATCATGAGAGAATCTGTGAAAATGATAAATATGGGGAAAATGGTCTTCTTCCTGCTCAGCTAGTACTGCGAGAGTATTTCCATAAACATGACTCAAGCACTAAAAGCTTACAACATGATTTAGTTCTTACTGGCCGTCAGGAAAACTATGAAAGTAATAGTAATGCATGTGATCAAACTTTCTGTCAGAATATTCACCTTATTCAATTTTCAAGACCTCAAATTGGGGATAAATCATACAAACGTCCTGTTGATGATAATTCTCTTACTCGTGGTACGTCTCTTGGTACATCAAAGGGTATACATAAAGAGAAGCCCTATGAATGTAAGGAATGTGGAAAATTCTTCAGTTGGCGCTCTAACCTTACCAGGCACAGACTTATTCATACTGGAGAAAAACCGTATGAATGTAAGGAATGTGGAAAATCTTTCAGCCGGAGTTCTCACCTCATTGGACATCAAAAGACTCATACTGGTGAGGAGCCGTATGAGTGTAAAGAGTGTGGAAAATCTTTCAGCTGGTTCTCTCACCTTGTTACTCATCAGCGAACTCATACTGGAGACAAATTGTACACATGTAATCAGTGTGGAAAATCTTTCGTTCATAGTTCTAGGCTTATTAGGCACCAAAGAACTCATACTGGAGAAAAACCTTACGAATGCCCTGAATGTGGAAAATCTTTCAGACAGAGCACACATCTCATTCTGCATCAGAGAACTCATGTTAGAGTAAGGCCCTATGAATGTACTGAATGTGGGAAGTCTTACAGCCAGCGATCTCATCTTGTTGTACATCATAGAACTCACACTGGACTAAAACCCTTTGAGTGTAAAGATTGTGGAAAATGCTTTAGTCGAAGTTCTCACCTTTTCTCACATCAGAGAACCCATACAGGAGAGAAACCATATGAATGCCATGATTGTGGGAAATCTTTTAGTCAGAGTTCTGCCCTCATTGTTCACCAGAGAATTCATACCGGGGAGAAACCATATGAATGTAGTCATTGTAGAAAGGCCTTTATTCGGAAGAATGACCTTATGAAACATCAGAGAATTCACATGGGAGAAGAGACCTATAAATGTAATCACTGTGGACTTATCTTCAGCCAGAGTTCTCCATTTATAATACATCAAATAGCTCATACTGGAGAGCAGTTCTTAACTTGTAATCACTGTGGGTCAACACTTGTTAGTAGCTCTAACACTAATAGGTATGAGACAAATCATATTAGAGAAAATTCTTAGTAATATGATGATTATGGGAATTTCTTCAACAACAACAACTACTTTGTATTGAGAAATTCCTTTTGTATAGAAAATGTACAGATGTAATCATTATTTATATACCTTCAATTCTGTGACTACCCTTTGATGCATTAGAGAATTGGCCCTGGGATGGGTATTTACAAATTTTATTTTAATAAGCCAATACACCACAGTCCTTTTCTCCACATTCCTATATATGTAATTGACCTAGTAACTTTCTTTGTGTGTGTGTATGTGTGGGGTAGGGGTACATCCTGTGGTGCTCAGTCGCTATTTCTAGCGTACTGTTCTGGAATCATCCCTGGGAGTGCTTTGTAACCAAGCAATATTGGGAATCAAACTTTGGGCTTCCATATATAAAGCTTGCACTTCACCCTTTATGCTATTTTTTTTTCCTCTGGGAGCTTTACTGACCCAAATGCTAAAATCTGAGATGAAGCCACTAGATAGATGATCTGATGAGTGTTGACCTAAACTTGAAGTATAAATGAGAAGTTCCAGGGTTGTAGTTCAGCAGTAGAGCTACTTGTCTTGCATTTGTGAGGCCCTATTGTTGATCACTGACACTACACAAAAAAGGAGAATTCTGCTTAAAAAATAAAAACAAGGTTTGAGAAATGGATATAGTGGTTATGCTTTTAACATTGGAGAAACATTTGAATAAATTATGCCATTTTAAATTTTTCTTGCACACTTAGGAGTTCAATCTTTTATATGCATTTGTAAACTACATTTTGGTTAACATCAGAGAAAATAAAGTAGATCAAGATCAACATATTTACACTAGTACCATTTTAAAAATATAATTTTACATGGAAAATAAGAATTTCTATAGATAAGTGAACAAAATGGATTTGTTAAATAAGACCGTGTTTTACAGTATATTTAGACTTTTGGTATTTGAAGGCTTAAACATTAAAATGTGATACTCAGTTTCTCCACTATATTTTTAGGAAAGATTGAGAATCCCTTGCCAACAAAGCTTCCCATAAATTGTATGTCATTTGGGTTCATAAGAGTCAAGCTCTATGAGATGATACCAAAGACTGCTGGAAATTTTAAAACATTGATATTCAGAATATTGGGATCTCCATGAACACAACATTGAACATACCAGGGAGAGTCCTTGAATGGGAACAGACACCTGGAAGATCTTCTGGGCAGGAATGCTCATAAAATACAAAAAAGTCCCCAAACCATCCCCCTTCCAACATAATCTTTCCTCTGTGAAAAAAAATTAGCAGTTAAAAATACAGGATTGTTAGACTATCCACGTTGAAATCTTACCCTTTCACTTGTTGGATGATATTGGCATGTCTAACCTCTCTTTGCCTAACTTATAGATATCTTCCTTTGTAAGTTAGGGATAATAGTACTTACCTCATAAGGTGTTGGTCAGTACTAATGAGTAAACATAAACAGCATTGTACCTGATATCAATTTTTTATGATTATCAGCTGTGACAATAACAATGAAGTAACAATGAAGGGTCTCATTCTCCTAACTCTGAAAGAGCCTTGAATATGGCACTTTTTAAAAAAAAAATCTCAGGGCTAGGACGAAGGAGACGTTACTGGGGCCTGCTTGAGACAATCGACAACTAACAGGATGGTTGTGATTGTGATTGATGATTATCAGCTGTAACTATTAATGTTTCTGTTGCTGATCTACCCTGGTGTCTGACATTTAAACTTGGCTTGATTAGGGCTAATAAGAAACCTTGGTTCTCACTTCCAGCCACATTCTTATCTCTTTCACCTATGTTAGGACTGAACCTTGGGAAATCACTGAACTGTAATATATGGATTTATTCTGAGTAGCAAACTTTTAATATTGTATGAAAACTCATTGTACAAGATTTCTAGGGAGAAGACCCTAATATTCAGCTGCTTTGGTAAGCCCCTGGGCCAAAAATATAGAAATAAAATCTATTTTAATCTCTCATTCTATAAATGGAACTGTGTTTAAGGATTTACTATTATTTGCCAATTTGAGATTTTCTAGCAAATTCTGTGTATTTAATGCTCAATGGCTATTGCAGGATAGTTAAATATATTTGAGACCAGCAAGATCTTGATATATCTCCTGGTAAAGGGTAAAATGATTTTTAGAATGACAAAACTTGAGAACTAAGAGAAACATGAGATCACCTATTGTAAATGTGTTCTTACTATATAGTTGAAAGGAAGTGAGTTAGCCCAGGTGACTTTTGAGGGAAGTCACATCCAGAACTACATTCCAGGTTTCTGCATCACTGCTCTTCTTAATGTGTATATAACTATCATATAATGAACCCTATCAGAAAGAATTTTCATTATAGTAGTGGTTCTTTATGGAGACGAAAGTGTCGCCAGCCCCTTAATTTTACTTCTTAAAAATTTTAAATCAAAATACCAAAATTCAGCTCTCCTCAGATGTATAGTGGAAGCACAGCTTTTATCTACCTCATAAGATTGTTGTGTGGGTTAGGTGAGATGATGTGTGTAAACTAAAAACAATGCCTGTATTGGGCCAGAAGGTATAGTGGGTAGGATAATTTGCCTTGCGCATGGCTGACCCAGGTTTGATCATCAGCATCCCAGATAGTCCCCTAAACATCTATAAGAGTGATTCCTGAGAACAGAGCCAGGAGTAAACTCTGAGCATCACTGGGTGTGACCCCAACACAAAAACTAAACTAAAAAGAATGCCTTCATATAATTGTACGTACAATAAAAAATTGTACATATAAAAATGTGTTTATTAATGAAGGTATCGATAATCAATGAAACAACATTTAAAATAGTGAGAATTGTGATAAAAATGTATACTAGCATAATGGTCATAATAGCTACATGATGGGATTTTTATGCAGAGATGCACACAAAAATTTGATAGCATAGGAAAATATTGATGCTGTTGTCTGGTATGGAAAAAGCATGAGAGAATTGCTAATATAATGTAAACTCAAATGTGTAAAAATAAATTGTTAAAAACTGAACTAAGGGAAATTTGTCAGGCTATTAATAGTACTTAACCTCCATGTTGGAAGAACTGACATTTTCCTTTTTATTTTCTATTGTTTCCAAAGTCTCTTCAAAGAGTATGTATTAATTTTATTTTTATTTATTTTTGCTTTTTGGGTCACACCTGGCGATGCACAGGCGTTATTCCTCGCTCATGCATTCAGGAATTACTCCTGGCAGTGCTCGGGGGGCCATACCCACTGTGCTATCACTCCAGCCCCTGCAAAGGACCTGTAATAACCAAAAATTAACCTGTAATTTTTTGGGGGGGCATACCGAGTGATTCTTAGGGGATTCTTCAGTGCTCAGGAAACCATAGCATGCCAGGAATTGTACCTTGGGGCATGCAAAGCATAAACTCTAGCCGAGTCAAAGTTTCTTTAAGAAAAAAACTATGTGGAAGACTTAGACTGCCTAATTGAAGTTTACACTAACCACCTCAATAAAATATTGGCATGAAGATAAAATATACACCAGATAAAGAGGATGGAGTCCAGATATTTGCATGATGCAGATTTTACAATGCTGATTATTTTTTTCCTAGTTTCAAAATAATGTAGTATAGAAGGTAAAAGGTAAAAGGTAAAGGCCCTCCCGTTGATCGTCGATTTGCTCGAGCAGGCCCAGTAACGTCTCCATTGGAGACTTTGTTGTTACTGTGTTTGGCATATCGAATACTCTCGGTAGCTTGCCAGGCTCTCTGAGAGGGGCGGAGGAATCGAACTTGGTTCAGCCATGTTGGCCGCTCGTAAGGCAAACGCCCTACCTGCTGTGCTATCGCTCCAGCCCGTAGTATAGAAGAGGGTTTAAAATTAATGCTGGTACAGTGGCTGAATAAATAGCAGTACTCCTACAAAAAATTAATGGTGGTAGGGCTGAGTACAGCAAGTAGGACATTTGCCTTGTACACAGCCAACCCAGATTCTATTCCCAGCATCCCATATGGTTCCCCAAGCACCGCCAGGAGTAATTCCTGAATGCAAAGCCAGGAGTAACCCCTGTGCATTACCAGGTATACCCAAAAAGCAAAAAATAAATAAAATTAATGCTGGTGTGGGGCTGGAGAGATAGCACAGAGGGTAGGGCATTTGCCTTGCATGCAGCCAACCCGGGTTCAATTCTCAGCATCCTATACGGTCCCCTGAGCACCGCCAGGAATAATCCTGAGTGCAGAGCCAGGAGTAAACCCTGTGCATCGCCGGATTGTGCCCCCAAAAAAGCAAAAATAAATTAATTTAAAAAGAAAGACTTTAAAATTAATGCTGGTCTGACCTACCAGACATTTATAGTAATTATATTAATACAAATTAATATAGTTATATTGAACAAGGATGAGCAAAGGATGAACAAAACATAACTTTGTTGCCAAAATCTGATAACTGCATTGGAAGAAAAAAGTGCATACCTGTCTCTTATGAACACAGATGCAAAAATCCTAAACAAAGAATAAGCAAACTGTGGGCCACAGTGATAATACAGTGGGTAGGACATTTGCCTGGCATGCTCCTGGGTACTATTCACAGCATCCTTATGGTCTTCCAAGCACCACCAGGAATAATTCCAGGAATAGAGCCAGTAGTAAACCCTGAGCACTCCAGGTGTGGCCCAAAGACAAACAGAGCAAACAATATAATATCTAAAATTTGCATAATGATCAAGTATATTTTATTGTATTCACAGAAGGATGTTTCAGTGTTAAAAAAATCAACCATAGTAATCTATCACCATTACAGAATAAATGACAATCAAGGGAGAAAAAAAGCCTTCATTGATAAAACATGTTTAGAGGTGGGGATATGGTTCCGTTGTAGAGCACTTGTCTTGCATGGATGAGGCCTTGTGTTTGATTCCTGGCACCATGTGGTCCTCAAACACCACTGGGAGTTATCTGATCCTGTGCACTGAACCAGTGGACCATTGGTTATGGTCCTCGAACAGCCAATCAACAAGCAATCACTGAAACATATACAGAGCAGAATATCTAAAAACTACTACTTCTTCAAAACTGTGTATCTGCCTGTGATAAAACTCAGCATTTTTATTCCAGGATGTATACCCATGTGAAATGGAGTCAAGTGACTCTCGAGTGTCAGAAGTATGTGCATAGTTATTTTTGTTGATAATGTGTGAACTGCAAACATTGAACAGTTGAATGGATAAACAATGTGTGTTATGTTCAAATTCTCAAATTCTACACCAGCACAAAACATAATGAACCATTACCATATGTAGTAGCATGATGACTCGTAAAAAGTGAAAAAGGGGCCCAGAGTGATAGTATAGCAGGTAGGGATTTGCCTTGCACGTGACTGACCTGGGTTCGATCCCTGGCATCCCATATGATCCCCCATGCACCACCAAGAGTAATTCTTGAGTTCAGAGCCAGGAGAAACCCATGAGCATTGCCCCGGGTGTGATCCAAAAAGCCAGAAAAAAAGAGAGAGAGAGAGAAGTTATACTCAAGGTAATACTATTATAATTTGAATATGATAAAACTAAGCAATGAAAACGAAAACAGTGTTTGTCTCTGGACACCGTGAAAGCAGAAAAATAGAATCTTTATGATAGTAAAATTATGCCCCATTTTTGTCTTAGTATTGGTTTTCCATTTATGTCAAGTGCAAGAAAAAGAAAGGTGACCTAAATCACTTGGGAGAAGCTGATAATGAGCAAAGTTCAAAGAGAACTTTGAAGTTTTCTGAAAGTGGTGATGACAAATGTATATACAAATATGAAGAATTAAAGGTGTATCCCCAAAGTTTGCATGTTTC